AGAACCAACGTCATATGCTATTTGGCATAGGAGATATTAGGACTTATAGTTGTTGATTCTTTTTCTAGGCCATAATAATTTATCCTAATAATACCAAACAATATTTTTTATTTCAGATAATAATGTAAATATATCAAAATAAATTATGTAATTAATAGAGAATATTTTAAAGCCAATAAAGTGAAAATTGTGCTCAACAAAATGATATTAAAGAGTGCAAATATCTTGACTAATGCATTGCCATAAAAGTTCCATAAAATATATGTAATACGTGAGACTCATTTATACCTTAGCGATTAAGTCTTCCTGCAAAAACTTACCCTTAAGCATATTTTTAGTGAAGTTCTTGAAGCAAGAAGGGATTATGGAGGACACTATCATTAACGGTAGAGTAGATAAAATAGATGAAAGTATTAGATCATTCGATCCAACTGTCGTGACCTCATTCTTTTTATTTGTTCAACTTCGGAATTGGGAACTTTTTGCTCGTTGACTGCGGGCTTGAAGTTTTTGTGTATTGTGTTGGAGGGAGACTCCCTGACTATTAAGAGGGTTATTCTAAGATGCCACAGATTCTCTTCAAACTTTTTTGGTCTTGCAGGTTTTGTGCCGCATACTTGAAGTTGATTTGAATCACTTGGCTCTCTTTTTGATGCTGATGAGACGGCTGAAGCGACCTTTATTCCGTCTCAATGACACTATTGGACTCTTATGAAACATTCTGATTTATGTTGTGTCATTGGCAACCATGGAGATCTTGAAGCTAGGTTCTTCTAAAATCTTTAAAAGGTTTAGGGAAATGTACATTATATTTTTTTTTATCTTTATCAGAGATGATGCTGCACCTTATTAAATTTTTTTTTTAATAACTTTTATTTGTCTTCAGATTAATATTAACTTTTCACTTATATTCCTTTTTATAATCTTTTTGTTTATTAGTTGGTCGTGCTTAAGGATTCTTGTATCATTCCAAGTTTAATTTATCTTAGATGAGAACGAAGTTATATGAGTAATAATGTATAAGAAATTTGTATCATCGGAAGGCAATGTAAGAGAATGATTAAGAAGATAATAGATTTTTTTTTCCTTTAGACTCATCAAATATACCTTATTCAAGATTCTTCTTTCAGCATGACTAACTATCCTTCGCACTGAGGAATCTTTGACTTTTCAACGGGTCTCAAATCCTTGTGGGTCTTTAACTGCGACGCTACGACCATAAGGCTACTCAAGAATCTCTGCTCTTCCCAAGAAAATCTTGCAAGCCTTCGTTATTTGTCACTTTATAATCATTTAGTTTAGGCTTTTCAAAATTTGAAGCAACAAGGACTGTCGATTGATTATGTCTTGCTTGATAAGGTGGATTGCTTCAACTCCGTGAGAGAGGGCGAAAGGTGTTTGACCCATGGCGGTGTAAGGCATTGTACGAAGTTACCATAAAGAGACAGAAGAACTTCAGACGACTTTCCTTCAGCTCATTCCAGTTTTTTCTTAAGTAAATTTATAATGACCTTATTAATAGCATCTATTTGACTGTTGCACTTAGGATGTTAAACATAGGTGAACTTCGGTCGTATCTCGCGGTTGTTGCAAAACACTTTCGTATTCTTATCCGCAAATCAGGTACCATTATTGGTGATGAAAAACCATAGATAATAGTTGATGTCAATTCACAAAAAATGATGGATTATGTCAGCCATAATTATGGCCAAAGGCATAGCTTTGATCCATGTAGTGAAATTATTAATCATGACTAGGTTGTATTTTTTTTTAACATTTCATGGAGAAGTGGCTCTAGAAGGCACCCATCCACCATGTTGCGAAGGGCCAAGATTTGCTTATAGGGTGTAGCTTAAATGAAGGTTGGAGCCACATTAAGGCAAAATTATGACACTATTCAAACCTTTTAGAGAATTCCTTAGCATGTTTTCAAAGGGTAGGCCAAAAACACCTTTGCCAGAGGATTTAATTGGTCAGAGTTCTTCCATTAGAATGAAAGCCGCTTTCTCCAGAGTGAAATTTTTGTAAAATTTAATCTTTCTCATCTTCCTTGACACATTTTAAAGGGGTGGAAGTGACAGACTTTGGAATATTTTCCTATTACTTATCAAGTAGTGCCCAGTTTTTATACTAAATCTTCGAAGATCTTTAACGTTTGTCGAGGCTATGCATGCCAACGGATATTATATGAGTGATTTGATCTAAATATCGACTGGTTAAATTTACAGATTTGTAACTTTAACCTCTTCAATAGTCGGTTGATACATGATTATGGACCATTGATTATGGATTTTTTCTCCTTTAGAAAGCTCAAAGAATTGATTTTCATCTCTCGAGATGTGTTTTATTTGAAAATGCTTAAGTTTTTCTATTTTCACTTTTGCCTCAGTCAAATATATGAGCTTAATTTGATCTTGTATCTCAAATAAACTAGTGTTTTGATTCACCCCTATCTGAAAATTAGGTATGGTTAAAAGGTGAGTGACTCTAGTTCCTAGTGAAAATATGAGGCCAGCAATCAGAGCTTCGTATTCGATTTTGTTGTTAACAACATCAAAGTAGAGCGATCTATAGATCAGATTTTTATATAAATATGCCAAGTTGTGTTATTTGCCTTGTCAAAACTTGATTTCAATTGAGGTTCCTTGGTGGTGTCATGGCTATTATGGCACATACTTTTTCAAGGCATGGATTTATTCCTTTGGAAGTAAGCAGATATCCGAGATATTTTTTAAGAGGTAGCTCGAATAGGGCATTTCAGAGTATTAAGCTTGAACTTGATTTTCTTTAATGTGTTAAGAGTCTCCTCGAGATCTAATATATGTTGTTATGGCCATTAATTTTTTTCCAAGACGTCATCAATATAAACTTCAATATTTTTTTCTTTATTTAACAAAGATCATATCCATCAATCCTTAATAAGTTTCTCCAGTATTCATCAACCCACAAACTATTACATTATAATACAAAACTCATTCCTTTGTGATGATAATAGCATTATCACCATCAATCAATCTATCATAATTTAATGGTAGTCATAGAAGGTGTCTATGAAACTCATGAATAGAAGAAAATATTCTGTTTGGATACCGCAAGATCGAAAGGACTCATGAATAGAAGAAAATATTCTGTTTGGATACCGCAAGATCGAAAGGCCACCACCTGGCGCCACATTGCCATACACATCATCGGTAGGCAATGTGTCGTCCGGATGTGCGGACATCCGGACGGAATATACATCCGGAAGTTCGGACAGAATATTTTTTCCACGAATGGATACACTACTGCTAAACCGACAAACACATCATTTCGTGCTAACATGTGACCATCCTTTGGGCAAGCTCCGCTTAACATAGTGAAATATATGCGCAGATTGAAGTTACTGCAACACAGCATATCAACTTCCATATTTTTCCACTGCGCTTGAGCTCAAGATCCCTAATCTTCTTCTTCCTTTGTTCCGAAGATAGAAGACTTGCATCCCTCTCCTTGATGATGCGCTCAATGTTCCTCTGTACGTTATCTTTTTCTTCAAGAAGAGCTTGCTTCTCGATTTCGAAGGCTTCAAGATCTACAGCAAGTGACTCAGCTTTCTTTATCATCACGGCCATCTCCACATTCCTACTTGCCTCAGCTTCAGAGAGGCTGGAGGAGAGGACCAGGTTGGAAACATCGCACTCCAGGCTGGTAAAGATATTTTGATCGACAACAAACGAAGCCAGCTCGGACTGAAGCCGCTTGATCTCTTTGCGGCTTTCCGTGACTCGGTTCACAAGTCGGATATTAAGGGATTTGAGGTTCTGGACTGCATTGCTTACGGTATTTGTTGCAAGAATACGCTGATCGTCTTGGTCGGGGGCCAATGAAGCTAGTTCTAAGCGGAGCCGTTGAATCTGTTTGCGGCGCTGAACTATTTCCTTGGTGAGTTGGTTATTGATGGTTTGGAGTTCCTCCATTTCTTTAGCTCCAGAGCCTCTGGCAGCCGCCGTGGAAGGAGGAGGGGAATGCTTGTTCTTGGCCATGAGGAGCTAGAGGATTGGAAGAGGGTTTGTAAGGCTTTTTCTTCTTTCACTACTCTGAAGGGAGAAGTTGGGTCTAGTGATTTGGACTGATGGAGGGCTGCCTATTTATAAAAAATTTCAGGGAGAGCTCGCCGGTGAATCACAGCTCTAATGGTGGTGGATGGAGAAATACACGGATGTACGGAACGGCTAATCTGGCGTCTAACCTCCTCTCCGCCATTTTAGGCCTGGCCAATCTCTTTTCGGCTGTGATCATTTTTTTCCAATCTGCTCCGAAGCATGATAAGCATCTTTGCTTTCTTGGCTAAAGCTGCAACCCTTGCTTTGCCCTTTTTATTTCCCTTCTTTTTTTAATAAATAATTTCTCTTAAAATTTATATTTATTAATCTATTTCCTTATTTTTATTATTATTATCTTTTAAGTCCATTGCGTAGTGAAGTAACTTTAGGTACGTGTGGTACAGGGAAAATATTTGCGTCCATAAGATGTACGCAGCTCTGCTGCGTAGTGAAGTAACTTTAGGTACGTGTGGTACGGTGCCCATTACACTTCTACAAAATCATTACGATTGCTAATAAAAGATTGATTATTTAAGAAAAAAAGTTGATTAATTTTGTCTGGCAGGCACCGGGGGACTTTATTTTTTTCTTAACATTAAGTTCTATTTAGTGCAGCTGCAGCTTCTCAGCTTTTCAGCTGCATCTGCACTGTCCCAGGAAGCTGCTGTGAGGAAGCAGCTGTGGGGAAGTTGGCTGTCTGTTTCGTGCAACTGTGTGAAACCAGCTGTCGGACAGCTGTTTATGGAAAAAAAATCATACTGCCCCTGTTTGGTAAAATTGTTTAAAAGAATAGTATCTTAAACTCATCAACACTTCAT